CAGTAAATCGTGTACTACTAATAAGGTGAAGTGTGGTGATGTGTGTTGATGGTAATACATTGCTAAGGGATGATATCCCTTCATCAGTAAATCCACCGCTAGCTAGGTGAAGTGTGGTGATGTGTGTTGATGGTAATACATCGCTAAGGGATGATATCCCTTCACCAATAAATCGTCCACTAAAAAGGTGAAGTGTGGTGATGTGTGTAGATGGTAATACATTACTAAGGGATGACATCCCTTCATTAGTAAATAGACCACCAAGGTGAAGTGTGGTGATGTGTGTTGATGGTAATACATCGCTAAGGGATGATATCCCTTCATTAGTAAATCGACCACTAAGGTGAAGTGCGGTGATGTGTGTTGATGGTAATGCTGGAAAAAGACACTCAAGAATGTGATGAGAAGAACAATTACTAAACAAAGTTAAATTAATACTTAAGAAAGTTAAAGGGCAGCCATCATTTTTTAGTGAATCAGCAAACTGCTTGATGACAGATGATGACACCTGATGGACATCTATATTTAATCCATTAATGCAAAAGGATTCTATTGCGTGGTCTACAAGACCTTTATAAAACTGACTTACAAGATCCAGGAAGTATACCAATGCTATCCAATCTGAACTATCAATTAAAGGTAGCTCATTTTGGAATAGAACTCCTTTTTCAGTACTAAACTGTGTGTGATATTTTTCTATAATCTTAACTCCAAATTCTTTGTCGCCATACTCACGTAGGCACTTTGCCACTAACATGCCATGCTTGCAGCAGCAGTATGGTGAAATCATCTCTTCCATTAGCCTTTCACCATCTTCTACTCCAGAGAAAAGACCAGCACAAAACTTGAGCACCATCTCCTTGCCATCTCCAGCTTCAAGTGTTGGTATTATGCCACTATTCACAAAACCAAGAGCTGCAAAATACTCATACAGTGTAAGATGCGAAAAACAATAATGTCTTGTCATCTTGGATGGGCGTACTCTGAATGCTGGGCCACATGTTAGCAGACCAAAAGACTGCAGGTTTCCTGTCTCTGGGCAGGTCAGATGGAATCTCTCAACATCTCTTTGATCAAAAATGAGTTTTCCCTCCATAAACATTGCAGCTGCCAAATCTGTTAGCTTTTTAACAGTACTCTTCTCTTTGGATGCTCTATGAATTGTTTTACAGCAATCTTCAAAGATTTCCACAACTTCAGAGTAAAGTTCAGTTATTGTTGCTGGAAAGCACTTCTCTGTTCCATTTTCAATATGCCATTCAAGACAAAAGCACATCAGGTGACAAAGCACAGGAATGTGTGCAATGCTTAGCAAGTTTTCATTGTTCATGATGTGATCTCTTGCAGCAATCTTCACTTCCTCCTTCTTTGACTTGAAGTACTTTGAAATAAATTCTTTAACTTGTTCAACAGAAAACCCTGCTATTTCCACTACTGCATCCATGTGAATTCCCCCTAACTCATCAGCTGCTGTTGGTCTTGATGTAACCATGACTACAGCATTCTTAAATATCTTCTTTCTCAAGAGTTTGGATATCAAAGCAGCTACAGGCATCTGAAGCCGTGGGTTGTTTTCATACTTCTGTTCAAATGGGCATTGCAATATGCTGGCTCGATTGGAGTACTCGTCATATCCATCAAGGATAAACAACACCTTTTCTGGATGTCCGATTATGTACTCAAACAAGTGTTCATTGATGTTTGCATGATCATCTACCACAGAACAGTGATTTAAAACCTCACAGAAGTTGAACTTCTCATCACCATAGAGATTTAATTGCCTAAATGTCATTAGAAACACAAAGTCAAAATCATCTGCTGCCACTCTTGAAACATCTGGACTTTTGTGAAATAACACATCATCAGCCCAATCTCTAGAAAGCCTTTGACAAAAGAGAGACTTTCCAATGCCTGGTTTTCCAATCACAAGTATGGACTTTGGATTGGATTCATAATGATCTGGGTTGATGAATATGTCTTGACATTTATCAATCTGGTGTTTAACACTTGGTTTGTTGTAGTTTTGCAGGTGTCTCCTTCTAGAGAGCAATTCAACTCTCTTCAAGGGTTTCCATTCACGTTGGATCATGAGATTGGTGAATATGTCATCTGTTCTGGTGCTTGGCACATCATGACTGGCCAACAGTTTTGGTTGGAATTCTGTTTGAGCTTTTGTTGATGTTTTCAGTCTTTTAGAATAAGACAAGACATCTGAAATTGAATGCCACATGATTATTGCTATAACTAGATTAAACAAAATAAAATAAATATAAACAATATCAATCAACGTTTTTGTAAAAACTCACTATTTTTCCATGAAAAAAGAAAATTGAAATAGTATCACTAACCTTCGCATGACAAGTTTGAGGACTTTGATATTGATTCCTTATCTTGAAATTTGATTGCTTTGAGTATCTCTTGTTGTCCTTGCTGTAGACCTGACTGACTTTGCTTGATCTCATGTTGTAGACCTGACTGACCTTGCTTTATCTCTTGTTGTAGATCGGAATGACCTTGCTTGATCTCTTGCTGTAGGCCTGACTGGCCTTGCTTGATCTCTTGTTGTCCTTGTTGTAGACCTGACTGGCCTTGCTTGATCTCTTCTTGTCCTTGTTGTAGACCTGACTGGCCTTGCTTGATCTCTTGTTGTCCTTGCTGTAGATCTGACTGACCTTGCTTGAGCTCTTGTTGTCCATGCTGTAGACCTGACTGACCTTGTTTGATCTCTTGTTGTCCTTGTTGTAGATCTGACTGACCTTGCTTGATCTCTTCTTGTCCTTGTTTTACTGCAAAAGAGAATAGAGTAACCCTGTGCATATGATAGTCAACTCACACCTTCAGAACATCAATATTAAAGTAACATAACTAACTAGAAAACTTACCACAACATTAAGAAAACTTTATATATTCCTTATATTATATTATATATTAATTTGGTGTAAGCAATAGTACAAGTCCTTAAAATGGTAATACTGTTATATTATCTAAAATGAGGAGTTTTGGATATTTTCCTGGATGACTAATAAGAGTAACTTGTGTTAAGAAATGAAAAAAAATTAAGCATATAAGGCTTATTCCAAAAGATTCCCCTTTCCTCCCCACTCTCTTATTGAGTACTTTTAAGTGAGTACTTAAAAGACTCCTGACTGTACTTACTTGCATCTATTTGTTTAAGGATTTCTTCATCTTGTGATGCACAATGTTTCACCAGTGACAACAATTCATTCAGTGGTTGATGATCCACATCTGAATATATAGAACAGTGATGAAGTCTTATGTCATATTATTATATAGTAATTGCAGAGTATTTATCTACAGTATTATATACACTGTGGAACCCTGCCTAACTTATGGAGTTTATGCAACCAGACATGTTCTAGTACCCAGTTTCTTCTCTTGCTTTTTGAGCAGCRCACAATGCATCAAGGGAAGGGTAAGGAAGATCCTCCTACCCATTAACCCCTTCAATTTTAGCAGAAAAAAAGAGTAAAGCAACACCTGGATACAAGTCTGTCATATGCAGGGGTTTCATTATCTTTTTGAATAAACAGCCTGATTGATTTATGTAGACCTGAATACAATTTACAGTGTTGAATTTACTAAAGACACAAAATGACTGGCAGTAAGAGGTTAAAATAGTTGGGTTTATTGCCGTTAGCTGCCTATTATTGAAACCCCTGCATATGGATTCCCCATTGTAAAGCCCAGTTTTTGTGTGATACATGTAAACTGAAAAGACAAAGAAAATCACACAAAATATAAAGAATTGTCAAGTATGGTATGCTATTAGTGCATTTCACTCTATTTGTTTAACAGGATGGTATAGATAGTGTGGACACTTATACAACCAATGAAAAGTGAAATACAATGTAATTATATAGTTACTGTGTACCTTTTTTTAATTTTTTGAAGTCTTTTGATGTAGCACCAACTTGTGTTAATGCATTACAAACATCGCTTTTAAGATTGCAAAACTCTGAGTTTTCAATCTTTCCATTTGGTGAGTGGCAAAGTTTGTTTCTGGTTTCCTTCAAACATTTTAATCCAGCAACTAAACCTTTCTTGGAGCTGGGCACAAATGGAGGTCTGGAATTCAACAGAGCTTTGACAAAAAGAGACAAATCCCATGTTGTTGTGTCACCTGACTGAACCTTGGGTTTTTCATAATTAAGTGGAGTGAACTTTGTCAACAAATCTGTACCATTCTGACGGCAATCTTTCCAAGAAACAAATCCTCCAGCAGAATCCCATTTTTTTATGAACAAATCTCGTAACTTGGGAAGGCCTACCCTTGAAAGGAGCAGTATCAAGAAGCAGTAATTCCTGAAAAATAAAGAAAAAATTGTATAAAAAATAGAAAATTTAAAAAATCAAAATTATGTTTTACTTATTTTGTAGCTTTATGCCAGAAAGGTCTTAGAAATTATTACCATGGTGATCTAGTGATCATTGTGATCCTTATACACTCTTAAAGGGACATGGTCCAACAGCATCCCTTTCAAGCTTTTGTTTATGTTTGAAAATAGAAATACATCGTAATATAAGCAGAAACTTACTCTTTATTATTCCTTTATCCTATATGAATGGAGATGCTTTAAGATTCGACCGTTAAACCGATGGATGGAAACGGATTTCAAATGGATATTTGAAGTCACCTCATTTTCCATATATGAAAAATCTAAAACACGGCCGCATTGCATGCTGGTGGACCATGTCCCTTTAATAAGTGATATAGTCAGATATATTTCGCTCAGTTGAAGTTATTTTAGAAACATTATGGTGCTGGTCCAGGGTCTATATTCTGCACATGCCAACACAACAAAATACAGTCTCGTACCCAGAGCCGTCATTCCTCTTGGTCAGCGCCGAGAAACGAGGGCTCTGGCATATTCCATTTTTTTGCGAATTTTGATTGGCCGTCAGGAATTTGCTATTACGCTTGCACATCACTCCGGAAGTAAATTTCCACCAATAAAAAGGAGGCTTAGAGTAGGGTAGCCTGCGTTACATCCGGTTTTAATATTTGGCAAATAAAGCCGGATGTAACGCAGGCTAAGAGTAGGGCGGCAAAGGGAGATATTCGTTCAAGCTGTCAAGTGATTTACTTTCATCTTCCCCACCTTCCATCACCCGGTCTCCACGAAGAACACAGACCTTCATTCCGCACTCTTTCAGTTTGGAAACCCTTAAGGTGCGTTTAAGGGCTAAATGACTATGACAATAGATTTAAATTGTGGATCCACAGATTGAATCAAAATGATCAAACACTTCAGGCAAAAGTTGATAAATTAAAGACTTCCCGTATCCTGTTGGATGAATGGCTAATAAATCTTTTTTCTCCATTACTATARACTTTAAAACTTCAAACTGCTTAACTTTTAAACTGAAATTATCTCTTCGAATCGCTTTTAGACAGTGGTCAAAAGCGGCATAAAACATATCATATTCCACTATTTTGATTTTGGTCAAGGCATGCGTAATGAAACCGGAACTGCAGAAATTCAGATGAAAAAAAATGGAATATGCCAGAGCGCTCGTTTCTCGGCTCTGACCAAGAGGAACCGTGGTGCTGGGTACGAGATTGGACAAAATACAGAATGCTCCTTCTCTTTGAAATATGAGGCATTACTTTCCAAATTAATAGGGTTACACAAAAGTCATTTTTATAAAGTCCAACAATTTGTTCCATGAAACAATTTACTTATGTGTAATTTTGTAGTCCCCATACCAGTGTAGCCCCCACAAATGCCCYTGTACTGTCAGCTATTGGAAATTAGTGAGTAAGTGTCACCTGGCTCCTACATGTAAGCCTTACTCCTTAACAACATTTTCCACTCTTCTATCTAAATGTTCTGAATATTGTTCGAATGGAATGTGGTCCAAAGGAATTTCTGGAATGTCAACAAGACCAGATCTCTTTCACATTACTTTATTTTAAATTGAAAAATTAATTACTTATTAATAAATGAATTAATTAATGCCCTGATCCACAAGGGTTGCTAGATGATGATGATGATTAATGTCTGCTTTACTGATATAAATATTATTTTGTAAAGTTGATAAGTCTGCCAAGATTGGGATTAGCAGAGCATAAAATGCTAATTTTATAGCAGAACTTGAACACTAAGGCAGTCATGCTAAACATCTATATAACCCTCATCCAAACATCTTAGACAAATAGCAGACAAATTACTAGACAAGCAATCTGCAGTTCTATAAACTGATTACAATTTACAAATAACTGCGATAATTAAAGCACAAAATTTCCAGTATTAATGTAAACAAGTAAATTATTCTACCTGATGATGTCTATAGTATAGATGTCAATCAAGCAGCCCCACCCAACCACAACACACAGACTGGCTCTACTAATCRCTTGGAGGAGATATCAAAGTTACATCTTCCACTTATATTTTTKATTAAATATAATCTATTAACGTATCAATAAGAATGAAAATTTCTTATCAATTCTAGCTAACCGATATCGATTGTTATCAATTGACTAATATTATAAAAAAAATACTAATACCTTTCCTCTTCATCCATCCTTCAGTAATTTACTGATCTGTATGTATGCATCTAGACTCTAAATGCAGTCTGAAATATAAAGTTTACTAGTCAGGAATCTATTACTAATTAGCATAATTTATTCCGTATTTGTGTTGCGAACAGATTTTGGGCTTATTTTCCATAAAAACAACTGTAAAGTTCTAAAACTATATCTAATATCAAACCCTTGTAATTTTCAATAATATATTTACCTGTTTGAAGTTCTTCTCAAAGAGAAATCCGTGGTCAAATGTCCGAAAATCAAAATATGCTTCGTTGCAGAAAATCAAAACATCGATGAAGTCGTTGWCGAGCTCAGTCCAGCTACACAAACGATCGTTATTCCAAATAAGATCAACGATCTSTCGTGTAAAATTCGCAATTTTCTACATCGTGTGAAGTTCTAAGACTGTAAATGTGTACATTTACAGGATTTAGATTGTAACTTTCGTCAACCTCACACCCACCCACAGCAGCCCACAGCAGTCACAGTCCGTCTCCTTCGACGCATCTATCCCAGACTGCATTGCCGGTTTCTAGACTCTTCCACACAGTGGGGGGAAGAGTCCATACTGTTTTTCTTACCCGGGGTTTCTACTGCATTACCAATGACAATATGTATGATAATTACAAATGACATTAGGACCATTAGCAATCATAACGTATGTGAAGTGATTAGATGTGAATTATGAACGTATATCGACAAGAAGAAACTCCCCATGCGCCATGGGCGCAGTTCAGCCTAAGATATAAGCTTACTTAAAATAAATGCTGTAGTTAATAAAGAAATATTGGATAATTTTGTCTAAGCTTCCACCCTGCATAGATTAAGTACTAAAAACTACATTGAATTTTTTTGATCAATTTATGACAGCGTTTTGTGGTCTAATGGGATAAAAATTTAAGCTTGTCCAGATTGTAGTCAAGCTACGATCATCTAAAGTACAAATCATCTAAAGTACAAAAATTTAATTCCATTACTTCTGGTATATAATCAATATTAGTATGAACGAAAACAACAAATAAATTTATATTTTGACTTACTTGTGACTGCAAAAAAAGCAGAAATCTTTCCCTCTCTTGAAAAAGTGTTCAAATTTGTCCGCCATATTTTACACTGGTGCCCAGTTTCCCACGTACAGGTATGCACAACACAGGGATTCCAAGCCTACTTTGCATATTGCGGTTAGAACTTGCACGGATAATTTTTAAATAAAAGAGAATGATTTGCTAACATACATATATACTTTGGATCTTTATTWAAATTTTCACGAGATCTGAATACTTCTCTTCGGTGCCGCACGGCCACACGGACTATTAAAAAAAGTTGCCATGGAAACCGACTAGAATCTGGATTTGTATATTCAGACATAACGAACGCACARAATGTGAAGAACTATTATATTTAGGAAATGATATTATGTGTTAGACTAGTGACTGGTTTATATTGGTGTTATCATCCGGTCTTTATGTATTTGAAGGCGTTATATTTGGCGCCTGTCKTGATATAGATACAGTACTACGAGTATAAGTTTTAYGTCTTGGTAGTCGCAAAAAGTCCATTCATGATATACTTAGAAGGATTATTTCGTTCTTAAAATTCACATATGGATCCTCTATAGCTGTATTTTTCATTGCGAAGATTTTTCGTCAAATGCCCAGTGTACAAACATAAGATTTGAAAACTGTTAAGTTATTGAGAACAAAGTGTTTTAAGTCTCTCGAGAGATGGTATCTATTGTGACCACAAACAATAGCTTAACTAAGCCTAATGGTCACACAAACAATAATTGAAGTTTGAAGAGACTTAGGTTGGGATAAAGCGAGACAACTCAGGCACAACACGAGACTAGCTCGACAAGACYACAACAGGCAAATCAACATCATCATGCCGGACGATACAAAAACAGTMAAACTCCCACCTATTGGTGCCACTTTTCGCGGTCCAGGTCCAGGAAGATACCAACTCCCAACAAYGTGTTCTTACTTAACTCATGATATAAGTAAAAGAAGAAACCCGGCGTAYAGTTTCGGCACGCCGCACAAGCACGCTCTTACAAATGATTGCAGTCCRGGCCCACAGTATTTACCAAATTCTGGAATAACAAGAAATGGCATGGAGGGAAATCCTAAGTATTCTTTAGGAGGAAGTGATAAGTCAACTGTAMGAACGATATTTAAGACTCCAGGACCTGGTAAGTTGAATATTTTGTGGATTTTTTGGAGTTGAGTTTTGGGTTAGTGCGCGCGGTTGCGAGGGCTTCTTGGCGTAAACAAAAGGTTGTACAACTTTCATTATTATATATCAAGTGTCAAAGYTCACTTTTCCTAGTATCTTATTGGTCGAGAGTGTACCACGTGAAAGTCACAAAATTTTACTGTTTCCCGGCAACTGTCCGCCAGCGGTCAATAATATGTTGTGGACCGTCAATAAGTACAAAATCGCAGAAAAACACTCTTCAGTGTCGTGAAAATGCCACATTTACGGACGGTGAATTCCAAAATTGTTTTGAAACATTTAATTTCGTCTACAAATAGTTATAATATTCATTGTGTTATTAAATACTCCGATTTCGAGTTCTGGTTTGCTCTGTGTTAGCCCCAAAACCAAGCAACATATTCTTTTGTTTCAATGATAGCCCGACAAAACGCATGGGATTTGAAAAGAAAGACAATGGAAATGATTTGAAATCTCACACTTTTATTCTCACCATTAGGAAAATTTTGCGCAGAAATGAGGCTAACACAGAGCGTTGGAGAATTCGAAACTGGATTATTGATTGATTTTAGTGACATTTGACTATTTGTATTGCCATTTTTCAGTCATTTTATCAAAATCTTTAATAAAAACACTTCATTTATTTACTTTTTTTCTCTCTTTGACACTTGATAAGATAATAAAGCACTTATTTACTGGAAACCTCGGGAAACAGTATGTTTTGCGGTCCCTCGACCGCTGATGTTTCCCTCAGCTTCGCTTCGGGAAACATCAGCGGTCTCGGGACCACAAAACATACTGTTTCCCTCGGTTCCAGTAAATAAGTGTTAATTCTAGCTGTTTTAAAGTTTGTTTAA